AAACTATTTAACAGCCTCCATTCCATCATTATGGTTAATGTTGGTATATAAGGATTCTACGTTCGCTGTGACTAGGTAGGTGTTAGAAGTTATATTAATACTTTTTATATCCATAAGGACCTGCTTCATATCTTTCAGGTACGAGGGAGTGGTTTGTACAAGTGGCTGTAGGAATACATGAATATATTCACCTGCCCTTGCCAATAAGGAGTCTATCCCACTGATAATGGGTCTCCCTGGTGGATTCTTCTGGTCCTTCTGTATTTTTGGTAGCCAGTAAAAAGTTGGCAGTCTTGGCGCTGTAGGGCAAAGGAACTCTTTCTTTCTTAGAGATAATTCCCTGGGTATAACCTGAGTTAATTTAATGTCTTTAATTCCTTTTTGTACGTCAAATTAGGATTTTTTTTCAATTTTTGAATATGTTGCCTTGTCACTGAGTATTTTTAGTGCTTCAATGATGTACTGGGTTTTATCCACTACCACTACCCCACCTCCCTTATCTGCGGGTCAAATCACTAGGTCTTCGTTATTAAGTAAACTGGAAATCCCTTTCGAGATTGTCTCTGTTTGATGAGTTCATTTTTTTGTTAGGTTTTCCAAATCCTTTAACACCATGTTTTTAAAGATATTGATGTGTGGATTATTATTGGCTGGAGGGTTAAACAAAGCGGGGTTCCTGAGACCAGACTGTGTTCTACTTTGTAAAGATGTGTGATCTCTTGTGATAGGGTTTTGCAGGAAGTATTTCTTGATGGATACACTCCTCACGAATTTGTGTATATCCACATATGCTTGAAATTTGTTTAACTTGGCTTGGGGTGCAAACTTTACTCCTTTATTTATTTAATAATGATATTTCTTCAGATGATAAAGTGGCTGTGCTAAGGTTGAATATTCCATTAGTGGTCACATTCATCTCCTTTTTGGATCTGTTAATTCTTTTCCCTCCTCTTGACCCTCTTCTTGATGTCTTTTTCTGTTGGGGTGTCTCGGGCCTGATCCTGAAAAAACACTGTTTTGAGGGTACTGTTGTTGTTGGGGGGGGTTCTAGAATTATTCGGGTATTCATATTCTGTCATATGGTATTGGTCCTGATTATTGTAGTGTTGATTATGGTTTCGACCTTTGGGGGCCCTCTATAGTAAGGTCGTTGTTGAAAGGATCATCTGTCTGGTTGAAAATCTCTATAGTTGCTATATGGAGGGCCATGAGGTTTATAGTATGGTTTATGGCTAGGTCCCCTCGGACCTGTGTTTCTTCCTCTATGATTAGGTGAGTTAAATTCCCCCCTGTATAATGATTGGGAGCCTCGCCTTTGGGTTTTAGGAACATTATAAAAGTGTTTACCGTTAGAGTTTTTGGGGTTAGGGATGAATCTCATATCCCTACTCCCTATGTCATAATCGGGTACATTACGGAGTGGTGAATATTTGTTATGTGTGTCAATATTATATTCATCATCCTCCATAGATGAAGTACTACTACAAGAGTCTCTTCTGTAGTGTTGATTTTGGTGGTAATAACCCCTGGAGTCTGTACTAGTCTCCTATGTGTGAGTTTAGTAGGGCGGGGAATGAAGGTATTATCATCAAAATGGACCCCTTGTTGTTTTGTGACATCTCCATTATTGATGTTTGAGGATTGCCATTTAAACTCGGTTTTCCTTATAATCACTAACATCTCATTTATATTTTTTCTTTCTTTTTCAGTGGACTCTAAGATCTGTTCAAGTCTGTCAGACTCCGTTTTGTAGTCTTTGTTTCCAATGTATGGTGACAGACTTTCTCTAGTTTTGTTGATTTCGGCATCTAGCCGTATCAATTTTTTCTTTTTTTTCCGTATTATTAGAAATTTTAACAGATCTTGGCATGCATTATTAAAGAATTGGAACCATTCTAATTTGCTATTAGCATCCTCCTTCTCTGGAGGGATGTCCCAGCGTAATGAACGTGGGACCATATCATCCTTGATGTATTTTTCTAGGAAGGATATGTCCCATAAAGTACGGACTTCCACCGTGATAAGATTTTGAAGGTGTAAAAATATACCATGTAGGTTATCATTAATATCCTCCTTGGTAAATGCATCATCAGCTATAGCTGGTCTTTTTGATCTTAATTCAAAGATATCCATGATTATAATCTTACTAGGAATATTAGTATAGAAGCTCAAGTTTGAGGGTCACCAAAGATCAAAGTATTCAAACCCTCCGGAGGGATGACTACAGGTCACAGCATATCCCAACCAACTCAGCCCAGATGGTCCTGCCCCAGTACCCCAACAAGAAAGTCAGCATGGTATCGAATAAGGGCCCACTTAAGCCATCCTCCCTCTCCGGAACCCGGGGGAAATTTCGGCCCAAGCCACCCCCACTAATCCGACCACCCTCACCCAGGACCCCTGATATATTCTGTAGTTGTGGAAAGTCTCGGAGCTCAAGTTTATTCGGTGATCCCCTACCTAAGGAGGGACTCATGGGAAACAGTCGAACAGGACGTAACCCTAAACCAGGACCAAACCGGGAAAGCCCATAAAGCCAAACTCGCAATCCGAGCAAAAGGATTCAACGATGAGGCACAATGGAGGAAGTCCTGGACACAGATTCAGCCCAGTGAGGTGCAGGTTGGACTGGAACGTAGGGGAGTCCGAGGGAGGGCCTTCTTCCAGTTGGATTTTTTCTCCCAGAGGTGACGGCCCCACCTGGGACCCAGATGGATGCTCCGGGCTCTGCGCAGCGCCTACCCAGAGGGATAAGATGTAAGGATTTCAGAAGGGAGTGGCTACGGCGTGGCAACGGAGTGGCTACGGCCTTGAAAGTCGAAGGTGAGGCGGAATGGAAAGCCCCATGCATTTTTAGTTCCACGATTCACAAGGACCGAAGTGAAGGGCTTCAACTGGCGACATTTCTGAAAAGTGAGCTGGAAGAGATCCGAGAAAAGCTGGTAGCAATGCCCCTGGAAACTGAGGGCTGGGTTATTCCTGGCCACCAAGAGAATAACTTCCTTAGTGCGATAATACGTGAACTTGATAATAATGTCTCTTGGCCCCTCCAGCCGTCAGCGACCCAATTCTCAATGTTGTGGTCAAACTCCAGTCGGTCGATGGGAATGGCAGGGGCCAGCTCCAGGAACAGGGCGGTGGCGGTTGAAGTGAGATCTATAATGGTTTCAGGAATACCCCGCAGGCGAAAGTTATCATGACGGGAACAGTTCTTGAAATCTTCAAGCCGGAGCAGCGTGTCCACCAATTCTTTCTTAAGGTTGCTCAGATCCTGCTCATGATTTTCAATCACCATGACCACAGCATCCATTTTATCCTCAAGATCGTTCATACGATTGCCCTGCTCCCTGATTTCTCTAGAGAGACGTTCTGTCAGCCTGGAAGTAGCAGGAGAGAATTCTGTCTGCAGCATGGATTTAAAGCAATCCAGGAGCTCAGCGCCCTGAAATGCCACTGCAGGGGCGCCTCTGAAGCAGTGTCCGTGTCATAGGCGGGATCTGATTCACCCGTGGGTAGCAATCTGGGCGGGTCCGAAAGTGAGGCCGGGGCTTCAGGGAGAACTGTCAGTAGGCTGCAAGCTCTGGCGCGGACTGCCGGGTGCTGGAAGCGTGGGCGGCCCCCGTTTTTTTTTCCCCATAGATGCGTGTTTGCGGTAGCGATCCAGGGGATGGTAGCTGGCAAGCAGCTTACCCCCCTGGGAGCCAGCAGATTGGCCTATGTGTCCAGTGGGTGGGAGCGCATCTATATTAAGTTGTTTGTTATGGTTTTATATGTACCTTGGCTATTAGACCACTTCCCCACAGGGCCATCCAGTTGCAGCACAACCAGGAGGGACAGGCCAGCATCCATCCTCATGGCAGGCAACCTGTCAAAATCTTAGGTAGGGCGGGACTGAACCTATACTGAGTGATCCTGACAATGAGGGTCCTCTGCTTTCAGGGAAGCGACGTTCTGGAACACAGGTGACAAGCGCATTGTGAATACAGAATTGCTGCTTTTTGACTTTGAGCCTTAGTGCCTGTTCTGTCCTTGTGCCAGGATGATGGCAGTTTAGCATAGAGAAAAGAATACTACCATCAATATTTTTGTTACAATAACATATCTGCTCATATCTGATGAAATGTAAGCTGTAAGTTTTGAAAAATAGACAATCCGTTATTGAAATGTATTTTACAGTAGAACAGCCCCCCCCCCCTCCCCCTTTTTCTTTCCCTCCTCTCCCTTCATTGTAAATTTAAAAAAAAAGCAAAGTTCTGCCTACACTTTCTGTGCCACAGCTCTGTCCCCGACTTACTCCTCAGTCCAGCGCTGGGCAGTCCTTGTCAGACCAGAATGATATTCCTGTGATTCTGCCCATTTCTTGTGTGCCCAGCCTGTCATGTACACACACTCTTAAGGGGCTTCTTGTCACAAACTAGAACGGAGTGGCGCTTACATATCATTACGTGACCGCCATTGGAAGAGAAGAAAGTGACATCTTGCCCGGTAAGAAGACTGCAGTTGGTATAGGGAATTTACAACAAACACTGGTGAGGGCTTCAGGGTATGGCGGGTAACTTGACCGCCTTAAGCCTAGAATGCAGATGTTACTTGAGAGATTTACAGCTCAGTGCACAAGTTAAGGAAATACCGGCATGCGGTTGTATTTTTAGAAAACCCTATATGAGCCTGGAGCTGTTTTACCTTTCCAAAAACAGAACATAACTTTTCAAACACAGAACAGCAGGTAACTGCTCAGGAGGAGAAGAGATCACCATGTAGACATGCTGTCTGTGCACTCCTGGCTACTAGAGATATGGGGAGCATATATACCGTGTGTATTTTTAAACGAGCTGTAGTTTTTACAAAAAAAAAAATTCTAACTTTGGTGTTATGTCATCATTGTAGATACAGATAATTCTCAGTGGAGTTCATACTTAAGATTCTGGATTGAACTTGTACTTCTACAGTAAAACCCTTTACACTGAATTAATTTTGTCCCATTTTTTCTCTCTTTTCAGGTTCCACTGTGTTTGCTGAGATCCAGGGAGTTGTGGATGCCTGTGTCAAGCTCTCTGGGATGCCTGACCTTACCCTGTCTTTTATGGTAAAATAAGGCTTTAGATATGTACTGTATGTTTTCACTGTATAATATTTAATCACTTCAACTCCTGTAAAAGTATACCTCCTATGGACCAGAGCAATGTTTACATTTTAGCTGTGAGCCTATTGATTTAGCAGTAGCTTTGTCTTTTAAATGTCAATCCACCAAAACTGATATTTGACCGGATCTTCAAAAGAGGTTAAATGTGAACTGCTCATTTAAAAAAAAAAAAAGATAATCATTTTAATCGTACCATACAGGACACAGGCTGAGTATTCATAAACCCTGGCTATAGGCTCATACCTTCAGGTAATTTAACACTGGCAAAGCTTTTGAGAACATGTTCCCTGAATGCCTCCCTTTTAATTCCACCCTACTGTGTGAATCCTTAGATTTGTGGGTAGTGTACTACGGAGATGGGCAGAGAAATCACTCTTGGCGTAAATAGTTTATCTTCAGATTCCCCAACTCTTCAATCAACTTGTCACAGTCTTCTACATAATAGAAGCAGTGCATCTTGACTGGTGCAACCTTGGGAACCGTATCTAGACCCTATGTTGTGGTGATGGCCTGTAATGTTTGCTTCGGACAGCTGCACAGGTGCTCGCCTTGGCATCATGTTTAGTCAGCTGCAGGGTGCTATACAGGTCCAGGTTGGTTCCATCCCCATAGAACCCAAACTTTGAAGACCCCTTTCAAGGTTATGCCCACCATGATGGGCAAAGCCAGGACCCTATATATGGACCAGCATCATGGACAAGTAAGACAGGGATACCCTGTATCTCTAAGCGTTGATGTGAAAACCAGTGCTTGTTTGGAATGTATCCACTTTGGAGTACAAACTTGCCAATAAAATACAACCTTTTAGAGCTGTCTTGGGTGGATCACACCACAGGTCACACACTTTACTGTCACTTCTGCCTAGAAGCCTTTATATGGTAGTCAGGCTCTTCCTCCTGCCCTTTTGCCATGAGGACTTCGGTGTAAGACAATCGGTACCTGGTTGGCTGCGTTCTCTTTCCGGACATGACTGCCCTATATTTCGCACCCTATGCCTTGAGTGCCCCACAGGGGATTACCCTCACCAATAGCTATGGTGGAAACCAGGCTAAAGGGAGCTACAGCAGAAGCTCAAGCAAATATTCACCTGTGACAATGCTTCCTTTGCATTGGAGCAGGGCACAATTTTAGCACCTGTCTCTTCATCCGATTCTAGTTTTATTTCAACTATGGTACAAGTGACCTACCTAACAAATGCAGATTTTTCTACAACCATGTCACAGTTCGTTAAACAGCTAATGGCTTTAATGCAGCCATCACTGTCCAAAGCCTCAACACCAGGCCCCTTCTCCAGCTTCACCGTCTCCACCCAAAACAGATCCCAATGTGCCCAGCCTTGGTGAGGTGGGCATGGAAGGGAATGAAGAGGACCAGGAAGCAGTGTTAAAGGAGGCTTCAGAAGATTTCTTTCTCCCATACTCCCTTTATGCCTGAAGCAGGAGCTTCATGCATTATGTTTGCAATGGTGAACATGCTCACTTCTGCTGGGGGCACAAGCCTCAGTATTGTCCCACTTGATCCGCCCCTGTCTCTCCATGCCACCTTTGGGTACAAGGAGACCTGCAAAATCTAAATCTGTGTCACTCCAAGCTCTATTTAGTGGAAAAACTGGATAAATAGTCTGTTCCAGTAGTAGAGCCTGCTGTTTAAGTCCTAAACAAACATTTCACAATACCAATGCTCTTTTATTCAAAGATTCTGCAGATAGGAATTTTCAGATGCAGTGAAAGCTGATCCCCATGTTTCATTTAACTTTAAATAGCTTGTTTGGACCAAGCTGGTCCAAACCAAATCTTTATTTTACTAACGGTTACAGTGGCCTCAGCTACATACAGTTTACAGCACTGTGTTCCACTAGCAGAACGAGAACTAGTACTGCTGCCGGGACAAAACTGAGCCGGGCTGAGTGCTGCTCAGCCATCCAGAGGAAGTTTTGTATTCTGTGAAAGAGTACAAAGTTTCTTCTGATTGGCTTGGGGCAGAGTTTGTGATGTCATTGCCCTGCCCCTCCACCTCAACCAATTAGAAAATGGCTGAACAGCGCTCAGTCTGAATTTTGTTTCGGGAGCGGGAAGGGAAATTCTTGTCCTGCTGCCGCAGCACAATACTGTATACTGTCTGTAGCTCAGGGTACATACAGTTTATAAAACGTTCTCAGCCACTGCATCTGTTTGCGAAGTGAATAGTTAGTTTGGTACAAAATAAACTATTAAAGTTAAAAGAAACCTAGTGATCAGCTTTAAAGGCTTTCTTTACTCTTGCAGACCCGGCTCTCACTTTCAACAATTTCAATATATTGAACTACAGCTAACTGGACTAGGGAAATGAATGATGAAAGGGAATCCTGAAGATTCTGTAATCCGGAACCATGTATTATCTGATACAAATACCTTCTTCCTTTTTTTTGTGTGGCTGTCCTAGAACATGTGATAAAACAAAATTCCAGAATGTCCTTAATCTCCATTCAAATGTGCATTATTTAATGACTAAAAAATAATGAAAAAAAAAATTATTTTCTTTTTCCATAGCAGAAGTTTCCTAAACCCTCCCATTCTCTTTAGTTTCTACCTCATCAAGACACAAAGTAGCTAGTCGTTCCTCCCAGGCTTCAACTTCAAAACTAAGTTCAGGCCTTTTTTTCCCGCATAAGCCCCCGGTCACATCTGGTGTGACTTAGCATGCGAATTTGCATGCCCTGCGACTTGCAAATTGTATGCCAAGTCGCACCCGTATTGTCTGCTATTAGAGAGGTCAGATTGGTGCAGTTCCAACTTGATCGGATCCGCACTGATTTCTAAAGTAATACATGCACAACTTTTGTTGCGATTTGCAAGACATCTGTGTCAGATGTCTTGCAAATCACAAGGAAATCAGCAGGTCACCCTATTTTGAAATCGTGCAACTTCCCTGTAAGTCACACGATTTCAAAATCAGCTTTGATGTGACCGGGATTTAAGACTTGGCCCACAAAGCCCAAAGTCTTCTCCAAAGTCCTGTCAATGAAGGGGTAGTCTCACTCCTAAGAGTGGGAGGAGGTCTGTTACAGTTTTCCACTCTCACAGACGTTCCAGACCTGGGGATTTTATTTGGAGGGGACAAAATAGAGTCCAAAACTATACCCCCTCAGTGCTTTCTTTCCTCAAAACATCCTAAAACTGCGCAAAGTCAGATGTACAGAATTCACTAAGCCATCTCATGTCCAAGGGAGTTATTGTGCCGGTACCGCCATAAAACAGGTGTAAAAGGTTTTTCTTTAAACTTCTTCACGGTAACAAAGCCCTATTAGGTTATTCATTCTATTCTGGACTTCAAATCCCTAATCGGATACAGTTAGATCCATATATATTTGGACACAGGCACAGTTTTCATACTTTTGGCTCTGTATGCCACCAGAATAAATTAAAACGAAACAATCCAAAAGAATTTGAAGTGCAGACTTTCAGCTTTAATTCAAGGGGTTCAAATGTAATTGGACAAATGAATATAATTATAAATAAAATGTTCATTTTTAATATTTTGTTGAGAATTCTTTACTGGCAATGACTGCCTGAAGTCTGGAACCCATGGACATTACCAAAGACTGGGCTTCCTCCTTTCTGATGTTGTGCCAGGCTCTAACTGCAGCTGTCTTCAGATGTTCTTTGTGGGTCTTTCTGCCTTTTAGTTTTTGCCTTCAGCAAGTGAAATGCATGCACAATTGGGTTGAGATCAGGTGATTGACTCGGCCATTGCAGAATGTTCCACTTCTATTCCTTCGAAAGCTCCTGGGTTGCTTTTGCAGTGTGTTTTAAATCATTGTCCCATCTGTACTGTGAAACATCGTCCATAAACTTTGCTGCATTTGGCTGAATCTGGGCTGACCTTATACCTCTAAACACTGCAGAATTCATCCAGCTGCTTCTGTCACATCATCAATAAACACCAATGACCAAGTGCCACTGGAAGCCATGCATGCCCATGCCATCACACTGCCTCCACCATGTTTTACAGAAGACGTTATGTGCTTTGGATCATGAGCTGTTCCAAGCCTTCTTCGCACTTTTTTCTTCCCGTCATTCTGGTACAGATTAATTTTAGTTTCATCCGTCCAAAGAATGCTTTTCCAGAACTGGTCTGGCTTTTTTAGATGTTTTTTGGCAAAGTCTAATCTGGCTTTTCTATTCTTCAGGCTTATGAATGGTTTGCACCTTGTGGTGAACCCTCTGTATTTGCTCTCGTGAACTCTTCTTTTGATTGTAGACTTTGACAATGATACGCCCACCTCCTGGAGAGTGTCCTTCACTTGTCTGGATGTTGTGAATGGGTTTTTCTTTACCATAGAGAGGATCCTGCGATCATCCACCACTGTTGTCTTCCATGGACATCCATGCCTTTTTATGTTGCTGAGCTCACCAGTGCAACCTTCTTTCCTCAGAATGTACCGAACTGTTGATTTGGCCACTACTAATATTGCTGCTATCTCTCTGATGGATGTGTTTTGTTTTTGAAGCCTTACAATGGCCTGTTTCACTTGCACGGACATCTCCTTTGAACGCATGATGTAGATTCACAGCAATAGATTTCAAATGCAAATACTACACTTAGAAGCAACTCCAGACCTTTTACCTGTTTAATTAATGAAGAAATAACGAAGGAGTAGCCCACACCAGGCCATGAAACAGCTATTGATTCATTTGTAAAATTACTTTTGGTCCCTTGAAAAAGGGAGTATGGCTAGTCTTAAGAGCTGTAATTCCTAAACCCTTCCTCCAATTTGGATGTACATATCCTCAAATTAAACCTGAGAGTGTGCACTTTCAGCCCATATCCATTATATAACTATAGCCTGAATATGTTTTGGTAAATATTGGAAAAAAAATAAAATTGTGCCTGTGTCCAAGTAAGGTCAATTATCGTGTCTGAGAGAAGGGTAATACCTGGCATCAGTGGACATATGAAATGCC